TGCAGGCTCTGGCTGGGGGGTGCAGGCTCTGGGGTGGGGCTGGGGGTGAGGAGCTGGGGGTGCAGGCTCTAGGGTAAGCAGTCGGGGATGAGTTGGGGGGTGCAGGCTCTGGGGTGGGGCTGGGGGTGCAGGGTGGGGCTGGGGATGAGGAGTTGGGGGTGCAGGGTGGGGCTGGGGATGAGGAGCTGGGGATGAGGAGTTGGGGGTGCAGGCTCTGGGGTGGGGATGAGGAGTTGGGGGTGCAGGCTCTGGGGTGGGGCTGGGGGTGAGGAATTGGGGGTGCAGGAGGGGGCTCCAGGCTGGGGCCGAGGGGCTCAGCGGGAAGGAGGCGGATCAGGGGTTTGGGGCATGGGGAGGGGTTCAAGGGGGCAGGCGCCGAGCGGTGCTCACCACAAGCGGCTCCGGGAAGCAGCGGCCACGTCCCCCTCCGGCTCCTGCGCGCCGCCCCCGCCAGGCAGCTCCCGGCCAATGGGCGCTGCGGAGGCGGTGCCTGGGCAGAGCGGGGCCCCCTGGCTGCCCGGTGTCTTGGAGCCGGAGCGGGGCCAGGCCGCGGCTTCTGGGACCTGCACGAGCGGCGCCCGCCCGGAACCGAACCCAAGTGTCCCGGCCCACGCCGGAGGAGCCGGAACGCTGGGTGAGGAGCAGCGATCGCAGCCGGCTGACCGGAACCGGAAGACTGAGGGTGTCGCACCCGGCTGGAGGGACGCTCTGTCCTGACGACTCGCTGGTGACAGCGCCGGGAACAGCGCTCCAAGGGGGCGGGGCGGTACGGGCCGCGGGGGACGCTCTGGCCCAGCGTCTCCCTGGTCTCGGGGGTGGCCGGAGTGTTTCCTGGGGGAAGGGTTTCGCGGGGAACCGCGCGTCTGCCGCAGCCGGAAGTGTTCCCGGCGGAGCGGGAGGAGTGGGGACCGGCCGCACACACCCGCTTCCGGCTGGGCGCGATGCTGGGCCGGGCGGCGAGCGGGACCGGGCGGCTCCTGCTGCAGGTGCGAGGCCGGGGCGGGACCGGCTCCCCCGGGACGCGCCAGGATCCGCCCGCCCCCCAGCACCCCCTGGCCCCGGAGCCCCGCGGGTTGGGACAGGAAGTGGAGGGAGCGTTGGGAGAGCCACGAGGGCTGGCATGGACACCCCTCCCCCCCGGGGCTCGCGCTGCCCCCTGGCGAGCTAGGGCTCCCCTGGGCTGAGTCCCCGCTGGGGGGGGGGGCAGGACGGGGCTGGGGGAGGGGCAGGTCGGGGCTGGCGGGGGGAGGGGCACTTATTGCACACTCATGGCCTGACTTGACTCTTCCCCCTTCTCTCCCCAGAGCTCCCGGTGGCCGGTGGCCGGGGCATGGCTGGCCCCAGCCCCAAAGCGATGCTCCTCCAGTCTGCCCAGGAACACCATGGTGCTCTTCGTGCCCCAGCAGGAGGCCTGGGTGGTGGAGCGAATGGGCAGATTTCACCGCATCCTGGAGCCCGTAAGGAGCCTCCTCGCCCCCTGAAGTCTGAGCGAGGGGCCCCCTGTGCGGAGTATGGAGCAAAAGGGATTGTGCTGCCAGCTCCCATTCCCTTGCATCAGTCCTGTGCTTCACGCTCCTCCTCTTGCTGGCCCGTGGGGGCTGGGCTGACTCCCCTGCCTGGCTTCATCAGCCAGCAGGGGCTGCAGAAACAGCGGGTTCCTCTTCTGGGGGAGTGGGAGGAAATTCCTGCCAATGCTCCCACCCACCTGCTATGATGGGCCCGATCGGGAGTGCGAGTAGGTCTCTGTGAGATGGGGTGGGGGAGCGTTAGAGCAGAGAGATCATAGCGGCTTCACCACCCCACACACACACTCATTCCTGATGGGGAGAGGTGATGAAAGCTAGAACCTGAATGTACTCAGTCTATGTTTTTCCTTGCTGAGTGCACCTGCCCTTCTGGGGTCTCCTGGTCCTCTTGCCCTGGCTGGATAGTGGGAGGGGGGGAGCTCCAGGTGGGGCTGCGTTCTTGGCCGGAGAGAGATTTCCCTTACAGAGCATTAGACTGTTTGTAGTCCCTGTGCCATCCCAAGCTCTCTTTCTGTGGTAATCTCACCAGTCACCAGCTGGTGGTGCTGTAGGCACAAAGAGCGAGGCGATTGTGAACATGGGCATCTAAGGTGGTAGGTGGAAATAGGGTGACCAGATGTCCTGATTTTATAGGGACAGTCCAGAT